TCTCATTGAAGATGAAACCATTTCGATATTGTTCCTTCCTCGATGAATTCCAATCAATTTTGGATTCCGTCTTAGGAGAAGTTTATTGTTATTGGATGTTGATGTGCCCCTAATTGACTTCGCTGCAATGAACATCGGAAAACAAGGACATCATTAGATAACCCGAACACCAACAAATCCTCGTGCTTGGACATTTAGTGGCTCATGTAATGGATAAATGATGCTATAACCTGTCCTTTGCCAAGAAATGCTCTTAGTTACAAAGGTTGAGACAGGACGCCCACGTCAGTAGGACCAGAACATTGCAAAAGCGGAAATTGCAAGCGCCTAATGGGCGTGTGAATCGAGCTAAATCTGGCGAATGGGGAAATACGAGAGAATGAATAAGAAGAATACAGGTGGCTAGCATTTCCTATTCGCGTATCCCGACTGAGACCAACTGGAATCCGGTAATAATCGACAAAGCAAAACTGGATACATGTGGGGAATGATGCCATCAGACTGGAGGGGGCCAAGCGACGAACACTTCGATGCTTATTTCTCCACCTGGGGACCCCAGAGCATACGCAGGTCTGGCTTTAAGCCGGATATGGTAGTTGACTTGTATATATAGATCATCCTCTCTATATCGGAGAAGGTCAATGAACGGAAATACGCCTCGCTTCTACTTCTTGCACATAGCATTTTCTATCATCATCTATTGCCTCAAAGAAGGCTGAAACAGTACATATATCAGACGAGATGCGGACGTGGTTTGGTCGTGGGAAAAAGCTGCAACTGGCAGTCACGTCATGCTGTCTTTGTGCCTTCATCCTTTATGGCTACGACCAAGGCGTTTTTGGGGGTATCCTCGAAAACCCTGACTGGCTGAGACAATTTAAAGATCCTGGGGACACATTGACGGGATTCATCACGGCAAGCTATAACCTGGGCTGCCTCCTAGGCTGCTTTGGAAACTTTCTCGTTGGAGAGAGGCTCGGTCGTCGACGCACTATCTGGTTCGCTATGGCCTGGATCATTGTCGGGGCCGTTCTTCAGGCATCTGCTTATAGTCGCGCTCATCTAATTGTTGGTCGGATCGTCACTGGTGTAGGTACGGGCCTCAAGACGTCTACGGTACCGATGTAAGTATTGATCAAGCTCCGGACCCTTATCTCCTATCATCTCCGGTGAAGGTGGTCTCGAGTGCTGAATGGAATGGTCAACAGGTATCAGTCTGAGCTTTGCGAAGGTACGAAAAGAGGGCGTCTTGTCTCCGCCGAAGTCATGTTTGTGGGCATTGGGATTGCCTTCGCCTACTGGTGGGACTTTGCTCTAAGCTTCGTTGGCGGCTCCTTCGCGTGGCGATTTCCTCTAGCATTCCAGATGATATTTGCCTTTTGGGTCATCCTTGTCGTCTTTGGGGTACCCGAGTCACCACGTTGGCTGCTCAATCATGGAAGCAGACAGGAAGCGCTAGAAGTTCTTTCTGCTATCTACGACAAGCCAGTCGACCACCCTGATATTGCACGAGAGGCACACGCAATCGAGGTGGCTCTAAGTATGGAAGCCGAGGCTGAAGGTAGTTCATCTTGGGCATCCACATTCAGGAAAGACAAAGTAAAGACACGATACAGAGTCTTCCTCGCGTGGTTAGTCCAGCTCATGAACCAATTAGGCGGCATAAACTTAGTGGTCTATTATATCCTCAGTGAGTCTGCTCTACTCTATTTTATAATAGTTGGTCTGACACATTTAAGCCGTACTCCAGGACAATGTTGGTCTGGAGCATAGAATCTCCCAGATTATTGCAGGCTGTATCCAAATTATGTTCCCTCTCGGGTCGCTCCTGCCGTCTTTAGCACTAGATCGAATGGGCCGTCGCTCTACCATGATTTGGGGCTCGGCAGGATTGTCGTTTTCCATGCTCATGGTGTCCGCTCTCCTTTCTCAGGCTGATGATACAGCCCGGGGAAAGGCCTTTGCCTCAGGGTCCGTCGCTTTCTTTTTTACTTATATGCTCGTATTCGGAGCATCCATGAACTGTGTGCCGTGGGTCTATGTTCCAGAAATTCTTCCTCTTCATGCCAGAACCCGGGGGACGGCTATTGGTGTTAGCTCAAATTGGCTCTGGAATTTCACTGTAGTAAGGACCCCGGAATTATGCTTTAAAGGGCACTACTAAATACTATCGATACACAGGTAATGATAACGCCTATCATAATTAATCGTTTGCAGTGGAAGGCATATTTGATATTTATGGCAACGAATTTAGTCTTCGTGCCTATTATATATTTCCTCTATCCAGAAACCTCGAATTTGAGCTTGGAGGAGGTTGATTTCATCTTCTCGGATGGAAGAAACCCTATTTTGGTAGCCAAGGAGATGCAGAAGGAGGTTGCTATGGGAGGACTGTCTGCCCGCCGGGACATGTGCCCGAACGCAAGCGCACACGAGGACAAGGAAGCTCTTTCTGAGCGTGTAGAGAATCAAACCTGACCTAGTAGAATCTAGCTCCAGTGTAGAACATTTTGTGATTTGTTTGTAATTTTTATTGGATACATAGATACTACGAAATAGACTCACGCTATGTGCTCTTCATTATTGATCACGGCTGATCACTGACCCTCTTGAACTTATTGTTGCTCTGGCTATCTTCATCATATCGGTGCACATCGTATTTGAAAGGCGTTTCCCCGTCCAACCCAAAGTTTGCTCGGACCGTAATCCGCTCCGGGCCTATCCCTACGCAGGGAAACAAGCGACCATGACCAACATCATTAAAAGCGTCCCCTAGACAGAAACATCAACAATCAGTTCAATTACAGTTAGAATCGCCGGAGATGCCTACCGAGCAGCTCGCCATTCTTCGTATAGAAGATCGTGCCTTTGATAAAGTCGATGCCACACCCAATCGTGTCGCCTTTAGTCCAATGAGGCCCCTCTGTTACATGAAAGCTGTCATGCTGATAGTGAAACAAACCTCCATCGTCGCCATGATATCCCCAGCTTGGCGCTCGGCAAGTATCCCATCCAGGCATATTGTCGAGGAGCGTGTACTGATTTGTGAATCCTAAGCCAATAATCCTGTACATTAAATCAGTCATTGTAAATAGAATGATCATATCCAAGTTTGGATCCTTGTGTCTCACCCTTCAACGTTCTCCGACTCGTGTACTGTAATTTCGTAATAATATCGTGTCGTGCCGAAGGGGATAGGATGATCTGCAAGTACCATACCACGATCCCACACATAATAATCTGCAAAATATTAGCATTCAAACTTTATTAGACCAACCTCTGTCTCGGCTTACTAATACGGGTGGCTTCAAGACCATCCTCTGATACACCAAGATGAGCAAACTTGTTCAAATCATCTGTAGACCATGCCGATGGTCTCTCTCCAAAAGAGACTTGTTGCTTAGTACTAAAACTGTCCAGTAATTGGTTGTCGTCAAATGGAGCTAGCAATTGAATTATAGGATGTTGACGAGATTGAATCGCCAACATTAGCGGTGTCCAGCCATGCTTGTCTTTTTTGGAAGCAAGTTCTCCTCCTGAACCTGTGAGAACACGGCAAATGTCGATGGCACCATTCTCTATGGCAATATCGAAGAGATCACTTGCCACCTCTTGCGCTTCAGTTGGCCCTTTCTCAGCTAAGAATGTTGCGAGCTTTTGGAACGCTTCTCCGTTGAGTAACCCAGCTTTTCTCCAGTGCGAAAGAACAATGTCTAGAGGACTATTTCCATTAGAGTCTCTAGCAAGAGGATCACCTCCGTATGCAACGAGAAGCTCCATAACTTCCAGATGGCCACGGTGAGCTGCAGAGTGTAACGCAGTGTTGCCATTACGGTTGAGCTGTGCTGCAAGTTTAGCACCATCGCCAGCCTTGAGTAACAGCTCGACAATATCTTTTCTGCCACGAGCGGCACTTCTGTGTAGTGGAGAATGTCCCTCAACATCAAGCTCAGTCAAGATATGACTTCCAATATCTTGATTCTTGAGTGCATCCAGCACAGCTTTCAAGATGTCGGCGTTATCTTTATAAGCTGCCATACTTATTGCATCCCTCAGCTGTTTGTCTTTGACTGTCACATCAGCTTTATATTCAAGAAGAACCTGAACCAAGGCTAAGTTTTGTGAATCAATAGCTTCATGGAGAGCTGTCCGGCCCCAGACATCCTCGCCATCGTTGACATCGGCGCCAGCTTTCAGCAAAGCTCGTGCTGCTAGAACATCTCCAGAGAGACATGCCTCATACAGAGGCGCTTGACTGTCCTTGTCCTGTTCATTCACGTTTGCACCTTTAGCTAGAAGCAGCCGTAGGATATTGTGCGGCGCATTTGGCCAGGCAAACAACCAGTGCAAAGGTGTCTCTCCATAATTATCTCTGACGTTAACATCCGTAGCAGGGTGTTCTAAGATGACTTTCACGTTTTCGTAATTTCTTTGGCGGATAGCTAGATGTAGTATTGTGCATTCATCGTCATTGCGAATTGTTGGATCACCTCCCTTATCTAGCAGGTATCGAAGTTTGTCAGCTGGCCCATCACTGTCCACAAAGATATGCAGAGCTGTGTCGCTATTGAGCTTTGATTTTCCATTGATCTCCGCGCCGTGTTCAACCAGGAGTTCCAGCCCGATAAGATCACCGTCTCCTATGCAGACTAGATGAAGAGGAGTCGATTCGTTTTCGTTGGCGATGTTGACATCAATCCCATTTTCGAGACCAAGTTGCAAATGATGAATGAGGCCGTACCGAGCTGCCACGTGCATGGGATGATCAAAAGACTTAAGGTCTCGCCATGAAAGAACACGCCTCTGCCAGATCTTGAAAGCATCATTCTCTTCGTTGAGAAATGTCTCCAACTCAGCATAAAGATTCGCCCACTGCTCTTCATCTCGCTCATCTTGAGGCCACAATTTCTCTGCCTCTCTTACATGATAATGCCAACGAATCAACTCATACCGAAGCGACTCGTCTTCGGTCGCAGCCTCACTCATTGTCTGAAATGACGCTACTGATCCTGCGTCGGTCGGGGCATACTGAATTGACTCAGTGTCGGAGTGATCCGCATCTGGTTGCTCTTCAGATTGGACAGGTTCGCCTGAAGATACTGTCTCACCTGTCTTTGACTCCCCAGCTCCATTTGTTTCGGTAGCGGGACTGTTTTCTTCAATGGCATGATCGACTGCATCGACACCTTCTTCGGCGATCGAATTTTGTGCAAATCCTTCTGTATCCAAATTCTTTGGTTGTTCTCCTTCTGTTGTCTTCTGCTCAGGATCGGTGGTTGCTACGTCACTCTCGCTGTGCTCCCCTTCGTTCGCCACTGGCTCGTTCGCATTGTCTGGGTTCTCGTCCCGGTCTTCGTCTTGTGATTGAGCTTGGGCCAACAAGTGATCTTTCAAAATGCTTTGCTGTAGGGCGGTCTTCTGGAAAGCACGACAATTGAGCGTTTTCAGACAGTGAATCGCCATGAACAGATGACCATGTTTCGGACTCGCCTCCGCTGTGGATAAAGAGCCAAACCGCTCTCTGCACCTTGGACATAGAGTCTCTTCGCGATCTAAATGTTTTGACTCGCTCAGAATGAAATCTCGTACCGATGCATGCTGAAGCGATATATGGTCCTCTTTGTCGAATTTGAGGAAGTTCCGGCTCACATTCTTTAGGATGTTGATGGACTCTCGGCTGCCCTCGTCTTCGTCATCACTAATATTAGTCCCGCCTTGAGAGGTGTTGTCATGTGCATTATTTTCTGCGATCTCCGCTTGGCCATTTTTGTTCTCGTCCTCATCTCCGTCTTCTTTACGCTCTTCAGTCGCTCCCGCATTGGTTTCCTTGACAGACTCGTTTTCATCACCACTGCTTGCAGAACTACTGTCGTCGGACTCGTCGTCAGATTGATCAGTAACCTCCTGGCTCGCCGTCTCTTCCTCCTCATCTAAGTCATCTTCATCCAAGAATGTGTGTTCAAGCTCATCCGCTATTGGGCCAGCCGAGATACGGCCTTCACCACAGACCATCCATCTGAGAGCGACCAGAAGGATGTGCCGACTATCTGGATGCAGGGTTTGGAGTTCTTGTCTATATAGACCGGCCATTCCGTCAGGAAACTCATCCATAAGCTTCTTGAATGATGTCATAACAGCTTTTGGTCGTTTCAAACTCTCAACGGCCAGGTTCGCATCTATATCGCATTAGAGACGTAACCAGATTATAGTGAGCTTCTAGGGTTCTGGTAATTGACTTACATCTAAACATTCCATCTGATTTCGTGGCAATAGTAGTGCTTGCAATACTTCGCTGGTCTTTTTTGAAGCGTTTGATCTGCTTCAATGACCCTGAAATATACGACTCCACATCCTTAGCAGTGCTGACTTTCGTGACATCAATGAATGGATACCCGTGAAGAGCATCCCGGATTTCTTCCTCTGGTCTACTTGAGATAAGAACCCGGATGTTAGCATTGGTATCAGCTATCTGCAAAAGAGCGTCTAGAAGACCGTCACTCCAATCGTTGCACTCGTCCAGCGCGTCCAAAATCACGTAAACACGCTTCTCGAGGGCCTTGGCGAGAGCAATCAGAAGTGGTTGCATGCCCGATTTCGCTTGGAAATCTTTGAAAGTGATAGTCATAGATTCCTTGCTGTTAGTTCGCGCTTCTTTGATATACTCGACACATCTTTTCTTTCGACTTTGGAAAGCCTTGTCATCACTCGACTTGCTCTTTTTGACTGGTTCCTTGCCAGCTTCGTTGAGCAACTGCAGAAGAAAGTGAAGCATGATTCTGTTTCCACGTTGGGTTGCATCGTTGCCAGTCTTGCAAAAGAACTTAAGTATGATAGGTCGGTCTTTTCCTTGCTCTGGTTCCTGATCTTCAAGCCATTCCACAACAGAGGAAACGAGCACGGATTTACCGTAGCCAGCCTCGCCCATCACCCAGAGGAGACGATCCGGTGTCTGGTCATCAAGATCTCCAAGCCAGTGTCTGAATAGCTCATCTTCTCGGATCCATTTACAGGTTCCCGGATGTCTACGATCAATGTTGTCCCTAAAAAACTTTTCTGGCAGATCAAGCTCTGCGGAAGTACCAGACCTAAGCCATTTCATCTGGTCGCTGAATTCTTTGTCGAGATCCTTGCGCTCCTGGGCTTCCTTTTGTTTCAGCTGCTCGCTCTGGATCGCCTTGACTGCTGGTACAAGCTCCTCGTCGGCTGTCTGGAGAAACTTGAGCACTGCTTTGGAGTCCTCTTGCGTTTCCATGAGTATATCCAAGGCAGCCTCGTGAAAGGCAATATCTGCGACTTTGTGGAGCTCATCACGCTTCATTTTGGCATCGTTGAAGATCTCCGTCAATTCCTCTGAGCCTCCAAATACCACCGAAAGCGTGCGCTCTGGGGGGCGCTTATTAGTCAAATAGCTCCAGCCATTCTAGATGGACACGTACTGATGCTTGAGTGGCCAAGTACTAGTCTCCTGGTCTCATATGCAAACCTCAAGACGAGTCCAAGCAGGGCTGGGATCTTCTGGAGAATCTTGTCCGCAAGTAGCTGTGCCTCTTCGCTGAAGACAGGCAACTTCTTCAGCTGGCGCTTCGCATAGATCTCGCACACGAACACGATGTCCGAGATCGTGTCGATCGCATCCGTCAAGAAAAGACATGTCTCAAAGTCCTTGAGGAAGCCTGCAAAGATCATGCGGAAGGCAGACCAGACATAGGACGCCGTCTCGGGCGCGTAGCGCAGCGCCTCATCGCCAATGTGCAGCAGGTACTCGAGGCGCTGCAGCACGCGGCCCAGCTTGAACTCGACGGGCTTGCCGACGAATTTGCTGCCGTATGCGGCGGCCACCTTCTCCTGTGCCTGGCGGAGCGACTTGACCGTCTCATCGAGACTGGTGTCGTCGCGCAATGCCGCCTTCTTGGCATCGCGCTGTGTGAGCGAGGTCAGGAAGATTGCCCGTGCTTCGTGCCACAAGAAGTCCAGGGGCTTCTCCGGGTTGAGCTTGATGGCGGATGTCGGGGTCGAGTCCATCGTCGACGAAGGGCCGCCGAGTGCTGAGAGGAGAGAGAAACGTGGGCCAAGGGCACGAAGAATCTTCTCCCCTCTTAGTCCTACCTCGAATCATGATAAGGGGTTTGATCAAATACAACCCCTTGTCTCGCAGCTGAACGAGGCTGTCCGACGATCCTTCGTAAGCAGCAGCTGGTGCCAGGCAACATGCATAAATACCCCACCACTGCAGGGTTTCTGTGGCATGAGATTATCACAGCTCCCCCACCTCTAACTTGAAAATTTGGGGGCCGTTTCGGCCTCAATATTAGAGAACCGATGTCTTTCACATTCGGAGGATAGTCCTTGTCGACCGAGCAAATCGTTCTACAGGCAACGACATGTATTTGCAAGACAACAGGGCTTGTGAAGTGACTTGGTGATTATACCAGTCAAAAAGTATTTGACTACATCGGAGCTCGTCCTTTACATGTATGCACAGCTTACGAGTCTCAGTTAATCAGAGTCGCAAGTGGAACGCTGTTGCGACGAGAATATATGTTCAAGGCACATGATCATAGAGACTCTATGAGACTTATCTTCAAAAGAGATCGATGATGTGAACCCCCTTGCGTGTTAGCTTCATGCTGCCTTTGGGAAGGGAAGCGCATATGAGGATCGGATACATGTGCTGTAAGCCGCAAAGTAGAGACGACAAGGCTGTAGCAAAGTGATGCGCCGCAGTCACGAGGCTGAGGTACGGGGAGAGATAGATCAAACTGTAGTAAAACTATTTTCAACTGAAAAAGTCTACGTTTGAAAATGAGAGACAGTGTAAAGTAGAACTCATACGGCCAGAGGAGCTTGGATGCAGTCGGGCGAGGCAGCGTGAGAGTTAGCTCTCGTCATCGGATCCCAGTCCCGTGGGCCGATGAGAAGCCGCAGAAAAGGCGACAATATCAGCGACAATCTTGATTGCGCCGCGCGGGTTACAATATCAGCCCACGATTCGGGGAGCCATACCACCAACGTGGGCAGCAATGCAGCCACGCAGTCAAAAGGCTTTTCTTCTCTTTCGGAACTGAATGTCACTTATCAACCCCTGACGGGTCGGGACGAGTGTGGGCGAGCTGCATGGAGACCTACCTAGTACTTTTCAGTACAACACAGTACCTAGGACCAGTTATAGAGTGCTGCTTGCGCTAATGCTCAGTCGAGTTAGCCAGTCAAGTGGCTCCCTTGCGCCCATGTGAAATGAAGATCGAATCGTCCAGTGCGGCCGCTGGGATCTGGCTCTGCAATCTGCACGACGGGACTTGCAGGGCTGGGCTGCTGCTTTTTGCTGCTGCTTTTCTTCCTCGCCTGTACATACATACTGCAGAGTACCGTACATACAATTCTCTTCCGATGATGCGCCTGGTGCAACCGCACCGCAGCGGCCTGAAGCTGGTCCCTTTCGGAGAAATACGGCCCAATTCGAAGAATGCGCCGCTGAGCGAAGCCGTGAAAAATGGCTCAACGTTCGGCGCAATAAGGCCAATCGTCGACTGCATGGGGGCTCTTCGGGGAGGAGAGCCACATTCAGCCTGATGTTTTGAGATGTCTCTTCAGCGAGATAGGCGAGCCTCCCTTCTGTGGTGAGTTGAGGGATGTGCTCAGTCAGTGCGGCCGATGAGTGAGATCCGCCCTGGGATCCATGCTCAACGCCAGGCTCCTCCAATCAAGTCGCCATTACTGCTCTTTCCGGGCTTGCTGGGGGTGGGAATTACAATCGAGAACTCCCAGCTTAGTTAGGCTCGGGTGATGGGTCCGAATCTTATTTTAATCATAGACAAACGTGGGAGATAGCTAAGCTAGAGCTCGCTGAAGAGGTAGATTCAGGGCCGAAATGGAATTCAGAGCTGGTCCAAGACGAGACGAGGAGCGGACGAGTCAGGGCTGGCTAGCTGGCTAGCTGGCTGCGTTGCCCGAGGCTTGAAGCTTCAAGTGAGAAGGCGGGTGGCTTGTTATGTCTCAGAACGACGACGAGCGGGCGTGCCTGACCCGATCCGAGGAATAGATAAACCTTCAGCGGTGCTGCTGACTCTTCAGATGCAATGCAAATCTTTATTAATCGAGCCAGCGGCTCTTCAAGAGAAACCTTGCAACGGCTTTTTTTCCTTCTTTGCGCCTCAGCCACCACCACCACCGTTGTCAGTTATCATCACCAACAGCATCAGCATCAGCATCAGCATCATTCGGACCGAGGCAGTTTAAGGAGAGAAGAGCCATTGAAGTCGAGTCAGTCAAGACCTGTGCACGCAGAAAAGGCTCTTGGTGGGCTTTATTAGGATCACACAATCCTGCTCGCATAGCAAGAAGAGGTTGAAAACCCTTATTCGGCCGTCATCCAATCTTTCGGACCTTTTTTATGCTTGTACCTGGGCGCACAGGAACAGTGGGCAAAGACAGCGTCAGGATCGCCAGACGCTCCAGGGTTCTCTGCGTTAGCTGGTCGAGAATACCGAATACCGGTACCTGGGAACGGTTCTGCCCTCGCATCACATCACATCACCTGCTTTGAGGGGGGGCTATTACGTCAGGTCAGTACAGTAGTGGTGTTTTCTCTCATTCTGCATCTGTGTTAGTTCCTGTTGTGTTAGTGCATCTTGTTATTCCTTGGTCCTGGGCTGTTACGGTACCCTGGCTCCCTGGCCCGGCTTGTCCAGTTCCCAATGCCCATTCCTTGCTTAACGTTAACCTAACGTTAATGCTTGCCTGCTGCTTTGCTCCATCACGGCGATTATCTCATCTGCCTACCTTGCCACCTTGCCTTGCCTACAGGCTATACCTACCGGTACCTATGCTATTCTACTTGTGGCATCCTCTTTACTATCCTTGAATTCCCATCCCCCTTCCCACTCCGAACATCATCTCGTGGATTTGGTTGCCGTCTCGTCTCGTCGCATCTCTGCCTGGTTCTGGTTTCGGTTTCTTCCATTGGACGTCATCAGCGTCATTGTCATTGTGGGATCTCCATCTTTTCCAGGCGCCCCCCTCCAGACCGCCCTAAGCCTACAGGGGAACAGCAGCGACAAGGGGCAAGAAAAAGAGACAGCGGACAAGACAAAACAACGGACGAACGAAGGACGACCCCGCCATCGCTCCCCTCCCCTCCCCTCCCCTCCCCTCCC